CACAGCAATGCCCTGTGTGGTCGGTAGTGGAAAGATGAAAGATGCTTTGGCATTTGTACCCCAGTTCCACTGCTCTCCAGCTATAGGACCTTGAGGAAGGCCTCAGTTTCTTTATCTGTGCGATGGGATTGAGACCAGCACTGACCTCACAGGGCTATCAGGATGGTCACTCTAACAACAAACTAGAATAATTCCTCCCACAAGAGGATGCCCAGAACAGCACCCAGATGTTCCATGGTCATGTCCAAGGGCTCTCAGAGCTCAAGAGTGACTCCCCAATTATAGCGTTTTAATGGGTAAATATTGCAGTGAATTCTTGTGACTTTTCCATAAACCTCATTTAAAGATCATAAGGATGAATTTGAGGCCACTGGGAAAGACTTCTCCCACTTCCTCCCCACCTTGAGCTTCTCCCCATATATGAGAGGGCAAATTTGATCCCAGCGCAGGAGGGAAAGCTGAGGGCCCCGAGGCTGTTTATAGGGCATCAGGGCAGAGGCAGCAAAGCCTCCTAAGGAAGGAGTTTCCTCTACAGGAAGGGTTTTTATGGCACAGTTAGCAATGGGAAAGGGAACCATCTCTAGAGTCTCTTTTTCCATCGTGGCGGCAGGAGTTAAACCTCCCCACCACACAGAGGTTGAGTTCATTGCTGTGAGCAAGTCTTAGGATTTGCAAAATTGTTACTCTGCAACCATGTGCTTCTTCCATCACGTCAGTCCTCCTGGTGACCTCGTGCACCTCTCTGCAAGACAGGAGGCCACTGGCAAGGCCAATGTGAGGCATCCTACTTGATGGAGAACTAGAAAGTTTCCTAAAAGGAGGTGGCTCGGGGGTGGCAAGTGGGACAAGAAGGGGAGGAAGTCAACTACTAACTCCATCTGGCCACCACCAACAGCTCACCCAAGACTCTCGCAGAGTGGCTTTGGGGGTCATGGGAGATGTACTGGGAGCCATTTGAGAATCCCACTCAGGCACTGCTGAGTGGCAGGAATGAGAACCCACGTGGGATAATTCCACACTTCCATTCTGCTGGCTCTGGGTCTTAGCAGATCATTCAATGAACATCCAGGACTGTCCCAGATGTTGGGTGTTACTAGATGGAAAGATTTCCCAGCCAGGATGTGAAATAATCATGGAACGAATGCCTATAGACCAAGGGAGGTGTCTACCAGCACCCGAGCAGCAAAGGGCCAGGGAGCTACAGCGTCATAAAGCAGAGAAGGTCGATGTGGCCAGCTTATAAGCTTCTGTCTGTTACTGTACATTGTGAGCCAGGGAGCGATGTTAGGAGCACTAGCAAAAGACAGTCCGTGGCATTCCCAAGCTTGTCTTCTTTTTCCTCTTTATTATCCCCATCACCTTGACCTCCATCAACATGGTTATCATCATTACTGAGCATTTTTATCGTCACACCTTGCCTGTGCACAATCTCGCAGAGTTTACAGAGAACTTCTTCATCCACCATGACAAGTTGATAATCACAGTAACTCTTCAAAGTGGAAAAAGCGATCTTAGTGTTCCCATTTTCCCTAAGCATCAACCAAGGCTTATGAAAGGCAAAAGGTTAGTCCTAAATCACTCAGGAGTTCAAGTCTCTTGTGACTATTGTCAATTTAAAACCCTACACTTGACTGTGAGAATATCAGAGTACTTAATAAGTAATAACGCGTGGGTGCCGGTTCATGGGGACAAACGTCAGTCGTAAATAATGGATGCAGTCACTGAGGTTCATCCCGGATGTTTGATCCCAAGTCTCTGCTCTAAACTCTTCGAGAGTTTTTTAACACAAACTTCTCTGCAATCTTACTTAAGTTTTTCTGTTTCCAACTAAGACTGCAAGACGAGGCCCTCAGAGACCACGGGTTCTTCTAGGAGAGAGGGGCTCTCCATCTTGTTTTTATCAACAATCTTTAGGCCAAGAAATGGGGAAGGAAGTCGGGTGGAGAGGAAGGGGAAGGCAGCTACGAACTGAGTCTCCCGGTGGGACAAAGTCCCCAGTCTTCAGAGCAGCCAGGACGAATTCTTTCCAATCCTTGACTGTGTCCTAAGGGATCGCGGTTTTCAGGTGGAAAAAAAGCCAGGACTCAGGTGCCAGGTGGAAATAGGATTGGAGCAGGAGCGAATTGGGAATGCATTGAGAAGTCCGTGTTCCCGCTAAAAGAGAGCCTGCTGTCGCTTCTCCTGGTATCTGGCCTGTGCGTGCAGTGACCTGGCTTAGATGTGGGGACCGAGCAGACAACAGCTAGTCAGTGCTTTCATTAAAGCTGACAGAAAATGCATGCTGTGAACTCAGAAATGACTAAAAGATAGTCAGCTTGAGCAGCCTCTATTTCCCATTCACGTTTCACATGCTACTTTTATATTTAGTTTTATCAGCTCTTCCTTTGTACTATTATTCTTTGAACAAGATCTTATTCATTTCAAAAGTGCCAGCATGGTGGCACCCACCTATAATTCCACCACTCGGGAGGCTGAGGCAGGACATCACCATGAGTTTGAGGTCAGCCTAAACTACATGGTAAGAGCCTGGCTCAAAAAACACAAAACAAGCCAGGTGTGATGGCACACTCCTGTAATTCCAGCACTCGGGAGGCTGAGGCAGGAGGATCATTGTGAGTTTGAGGCCAGCCTGGGTTGTAAAGTGAGCCCATGGCCAGACTGAACCACATAGCAAGACCCTGTCTCAAAAAGACAAAAAGAAACCAAAAAACATCCACAAAACAAAACCCAAAAGTAACATACATTCACAGCGAGAAAAAAAATAATATAAGCAAAATAAGAAAATTTAAATCACCTATAATTTCTCTATCCAGGAATAGCAGCTTAATATGTTTATAGACAGCCTGCAAAACTTTGTTCCATGTGTATAATTATCATCATTATGTTGATGATGCACAAAAATTTAGCTATTTTATATCTATTGTTTTGTATATCTATTCTTGAAGTTCAGGGTTATTATCTTTTTCTTTGACAATGTAGACTTAGCACCAGGAATCTGAAAGTATTTTATTGCATGGGTATCTTGTTGATATCATAAAATCAGAAGCAGAATAATATTTATTAGAAATATCAGCCTAGGGCTCAGAAACAAATCGCTTGTGCCTGAGCAGCATGCTTGTCTTCAAAGTGGTCATGAAAAACCCAAAGCCCAATGGAACCATATATCACCACTACATAAAAAATAATAACAAACCTTGATTTATATCTTCATATTTTCTGTCTTGTTCTTGCAGAAAAGTTGGTAAAGGCTGATTAGACTGTTACACCCACTTTTTTAGAAGATGAAAGATAGGAGAAAATATTACTACAATGAGAGGAGGAGAAAGCCCACAGGAAAAAATCAGTTTTTTTTAAAAGCTCGAGAACTTGTCAGCATGATACACTGCTCTGAAAATTACAGCAAACAGAGATGCATGTGAGTTATTCTTTGGATGAAAAGTTTCAGTCATCTTTTGGGCTCACTTCTTAGATATTTGGATATCTGTGAATGATAAGCAAGATGGGCAAACTGAAAAACAAAAAGAAAATTCTAGAATGAGAGGTGTTTGGGTAAAATGGTCTTTCACCACACTTCCAGCTACAGACTTCATCAAAAGAGTTTCTAGCCATCAAGAGGAGCAGAGCTTAACATTAAGATGAAGGTGGGTTCCTTTTAATGATGTTAATCCTGCCGGATTGATATGAAGCAGAAATGTGTGCGGAGATAGACCACCAGGCACAGGGCCCACTTCTCCATTTAAACAGAGTCACCTGGCAGAAACTAGTCTGCAGGATTTCTGAGAACATATATTATTAGATGCTTCTCACAGAAGTGTTACACGAGAAAACACTTGGTTTAGTAAATTTTGTGTGCCAAAGCGTTGTGACAATTTCTGAATCTACTGACTTGGAATTTACAACATTTTATGCACAGCAGACCTAAGTGTTAAAAAGTGCTGATGATCAACTCCCTGGTGCTGGTTGGGGTTTGCTTGCCCGGAACTTGGGGCAGCTGCTCTCTTTTTATTCTTAGACAGGCTACATCTTCACTGGGGAGAAAAGTCTTACGCATCCAAAAGCATAGGAAAAGGCCAAGAGAACCACAGGTTACATTTACTGAGAAAGTTTCAGGAAAGAAAATTTTGGTGGTATAAGTGAAGGAGCTGAATTCCAACACTGATTTTTCTTTTTACCCTAACAGCAATAAGAAAAGAGAAGGAAAGAAAATTTTAAAAAGCAAAGTAAGTAAATAAATAGATATTATACTCCATTGTTTCATAGTCCACATACAAGCAATGGGAGGAAAGCCAACTAAAGGCCATGTACAATGGAGGTAACAGAATAAAGAGAAACAGTGAAAAATGGCAAAGGATGCTGGGAACGAAGACATTTATGATGCTCATTGAAACAAATATTTTTGCATGTCTATAATGCCAGGTACCTGGAAGGCTGAGGTAGGAGTATCAAGAGTTCAAGGCCAGCCTGAGCAACTTGGTGAGATCCAGCCTCAAAGTAAAATACAAGAACCAGCATGCAGCTCAAAGTGGGAAGGGAAAGAGGGTTGCAAATGGCCAGACCTGGAGGCACACACCCATAATCCCAGAGTTTGGGAGGCTGAGACGGAGGATCATTGTGAGTTCCAGACCAGTGAAGCTACAAAGTGAGCTCAAGGACAGCCTCAAAGGCATAGTGAGACCCTGTCTCCAAAAGACAATTTTTTAAAATTTTAAATGTTATCACAGTGTTATCACATGGCCCAGCAATTCCATTCCTAAGTATCTACCCAGGAGCATTGGAAATTCATGTCCACATGAAAACTTGTGCACAAATATGGATAGCAGCATTGTTTAAATATACCCAAAAAGCAGAAGAAACCTCAAGTGTCTATCAGCTAATAAATGGACAAACCATGTTCTATCCACACTGTAGAATATTAGATGACCACGAACAAATTAAATACATCTGCTACAATATGGACTGAACTTGAAAACATCTTGCTAGGTGAATGAAGCAGACACAAAATCATTTGTGGTTTTATTCCATTTATGAGAAATGTCCACAGTAGCCAAATCCATCGAGACAGAAAGTAGATTAGTGGTTGCCAGTTGCTGGGGGCGGAGAGAGAGTAGGGAGTGAATGCTAACTGGTATACACTTTCTTTTGAGAATGATTACAATGTTATAAAATGAGTAGCCTGGCGGTTGTACAGCCATAAGTATTTTTAAAACCACAGAATCACACATTTTAAATGGATGCATTTCATTGTAACAGTAAAACACATGGTGATTAATTTCTCTCAAAACATCCCACCTACTCCAAACATGCTCATCCCATTGTTCTTTAGTGGGGCTGTCATGGCTGCCTCTGTGTCCTGAATTGACTCAACACATTTCCTGTTCATGGTCATTTGGAGAAGAGCCAGAAGTCTCACGGTGCCAAATCTGGTGACTAAAGTGATGAGGACACACTGTAAAGCTTTTGGTCTCCCCTCTCTGCTGGATGACACTTGGTGGCAGGATTCATTGCATTTTTGATCACACCTCGTGAAGATGCTCATGAAGGAGGACTTCCAGAACTGCTTCAGAAAGTGGCCAGAGCACCTGAATCCCAGCACTTGGGAGGTTGAGGCAGGAGGGTCGTCATGAGTTCGAAGCCAGCCTGGGCCACATAATCAGTTCAAGGTCAACCTGATCTATTGATTGAGATCCTCCTGTTTCAAAAAAAGAAAAATGTGACCAGGATGATGGGATAAGTGTGCTCAGAGAGGAGGATTTTGAGAGGGGTTAATAACAATGTGTCTTTTACTGTAACAATTTTTTAATTGAAACATTTTACCCTAGTTTTTCCATCACACCTCATAAAAACAGCCAACAACATCTTGCTGCTCTACAGAAAAAATGGAGAAAAGCTCCTGAAGGAGGAAAGTGGAAATAGGGCAATGGATTAAGAAGCCACTGCAGCCACCAAGGCAACAGAGGACAGTGGCTCCCCCACCTGGCAGGGGATGGAATGGACAGAAAAGAAAAGAAATGGGAATCAGGGAGTTTCAACTTGGGAGAACGGACAGACCCTTCACCACCCCGCATCAACAGCAGAAGCAAAGCTGGGTGCAAATGGGCAAACCCACTCTGAACCCTCACTGTAGCCCTGTGAGGTAGGTGCACTCACCCCCACTTCCAACTGATTAAATATGGCTCAAAAATAAAGAGAGACAGCCTGGCGAGCGTGCATGCTGCAATGGAGGGCAGCCCGCTCGGCCACCAAACCCTGCCTCAGTCACAGAAGAGTCTAACTCAGGTCTCAGCCAAGCAGGGAGGGTCTTTAAAGAAGGCTCCCTTTTTGGGGTGTGCCGGGTCTAATGCTAACCTGCTTGGGGTGTGGATGTAGCTCGGTGGTACAGTGTTTGCTAAGCATGTATGAGAAAGAAAAAGCAAGAGTGGAGGAGGGCATGCTTGTAATCCCAGCAACCTGGGAGGCTGAGGCAGGCAGACGGCAAGATTAAGCTCAGCCTGCAACTTAACAACTTAGAGAAACCCTGTCTCCAAAACAACGACAAAATAAATAAATAAAAATTTTTAAAAGGACTAGGAATAGAGCTCAGTCTGAAGATTCAATCCTTGGTGCTGAAATTTCTTTTTTTTTTTTTTTTTATTTCAAAGATAGTAAAATACAACCAAACAACAGACAAAGCCAATCAAGACAATGCAGTGTAATTGGTACAGAACTTCAGAGCAGGAGACCGGGATAACAGTAATGGGTATCATAGTATATCTCATTATCTTCACAATAGTTGTCCTTTCAATCAGGTATAGCAAAATCAAACCAAAAAGAAATTTCTTTAACTGAATGAAAAAAATTTTAGTATTTGTAACAGGGCATTCGTAAAGCATTCTAATGCAAACTCGCTTGTGTCACCATCATCCTGACTGCTCTTCAGAGATTCGCTGTCGTCACCAACAGCTGACCCAACCTCTAAGGCCCTTGGGTCACCCTGACCCCCCAGCTCCCTCCAGCCTCTTCTGTGCCTGTCCCCCCACCAGCACACCCTCCCACTGTGCACCAGCCGCAAGGCCTCCCGGTCACGCACCAGGCTCTCCCTGACCCCAGGCCTCTGTCTACGCTCTTCCACCCACCACCTCTGTGCATCAGGAACTCCTGCCTGTCCTTGTCAGCCCCGGCCCCTCCACGCAGGCGAGGTATCCTCTGAGACAACCACAGGGCCTCCTGTGCAGCCCCCTCAGCGGAGTGGGATTAATGGGTGACTGGGTTGTCAACCACCTGGAGCAGATGACTGCGAAACCCATAGGAAATGTAAGGGGACCAGAACACCTCTATTGCCTCCTTTCTGCTCAGACCCCTGCGCTGTGTGGCTGGAAACAGTGCTCTGCTGAGTCCCTAGGGATGGAGGAAACATCCCCCAAAGGGTAGGCTTGAGAAACACAGCATGGTTAGTAAACTGCCCCTAAGCCCATCACATCCGGTTAATCATGGCTCTTCCTTTGGCCCAATGGGGACTGCAAGTTTGGAGCCAGCGTAGAATCAATCAGGACTTTGGGTGACATCAGCAACCCCTTTCTCTACCCTTCCCCCCAGAACAGGGCCTAACATTTGCTATATACCACTCTGACAACTGGGGAGGCAGGAGAAACACCCTGCCAAGCCCTGGTGGGTGCCTCTCCTTTAAGGAAAGCTGAATAAACATTGTTGGCACATCAATTTGATAGGGCGTCTACTTATTAGCCTGCCCAGGTGCTGCCACGTCCCAGTCCAGACCTATCTAGCAGAACACCCATCGCATAATAAGAACTTGTCTATAGGTCCTGCTGAGATCTGTGTACCATTGGAATCACTGGTAACACTTGAGCAGCTAAAGCCACGTATTAATTCATTGAATTGTCAAAGCAATTCTTTGAGGCAGGGGCTATTTCATCCCCATTTTACAGGTGAAGTAACTGAGCCACAACAAAAGAAAGCAATAGGCAGAGCTGGGTTTCAAGCCCAGACAGGCTCCATCTTGTGCTCCTGACCAGTGCAACTTATTCCTCTTTGATGGGAACTGAATCAGCCTTTTCACACAGAAATAACCCTGAGAAACTTTTAATAAGTATTTGCTAAGTGAATCTCCAGTTAGTAGAAGACAGTTATGCATTTGTTTAACAAATGTTTAAGGGCCTCCTGGGTGGCCCACACTGTTCTGGCTGCTGGCACAGAGGGGCAGTGAAACAGATGTCCTGTGAAGAGGAAAGCCTGCCCTTCCATGCCCACCAGGTGGCCACCCCACTTCTGGTTCAAAAGAGGGGAAAGTTCATTGCCCTAAAAAAGTTATTGTTTGCTTTGAGATAGCCCTGTTTCTTTTTGCTCAAGGGGCTGGCTCCCCCCAGTCTTCTTCCTACCTAAGAACACAAAACTTTGTTCTATGAGCTCATGCATGCGACAGCTTTTTGCATATCTAAAAATACGTTTCATATCTAGCTCAGGCTTTCTCTCTTCTAGTGTAGCCTAAGCTCTCTCCGTTCCTCCATCAGCTCATGCTCCAACCTTGGCTCTGCAGGACACCCTCCTCCCTCACTCATGTAAACTCTACCAACAACTTCCTATGTACCAGGTACTTTGCTAGAACCTGTGAATAAAGAAAGAAGGCATAGTTGCTTCCCTCAAGAAATGCATGATGAGGGGCTGGGGATTTAGCTCAGCAGCATAAGTGCCTGCCTTGCAAGCAGGCAGTCGTGAGTTCGATCCCTGGTACCAATAAAAACGAAAAAGACAAAAAAAAAAAAAAAGAAAGAAAGAAATTCATGATGGTGCATGCGTGTAACCCCAATGCCAGGGAGACTGAGAGGGTAGTTTGCAAAGAGTTTGAGGCCAGCCTAGGCTACATAGTAAGTCCAAGGCCAGCTGTAACTACATAGTGAGACCCTGTCTCATAAAACAAAACAAAACAAATCAAAAACCTCTAGAATTAATTCCATTACTGTTAACCCATCCTGTGCTAATGAAATGAAAAACAGACATGTACCTAGACACAGATGAATAGATAAACACTTTATGTTTTATTCATCCTTGGTAGATACCTTCTCATTTTAGTTGAGCAACACATTCAGACATAAAAGCTGGCTTAGGAGCCAGGTTTCAAATTCAGCCTCTAACTGCAAGACCTCCCTGATGGTCTGTCTGTCCAAGAGATTAAAAGAAATCATGACTAAAAATCATGGTCTAATAGCAACCCTATGGCTGACACACAATACATTCAAGCAACATTTGTTCTTGGCTCACTGGGTCATCGAGATTTTCTAAAGCCTATGTCAACCGGGAGTGGCGGCACACACCTGTAGTCCCAGCACTTTAGGGGGCTGAGGCAGGAGGATGGCTGCCAATTCAAGGCCAGCCTGGGCTCCATAGTGAATTCAAGCCTGTCTCAAAAAACGATCAAAATAAAACGATCCAAATTAAAGCCTGTGTCTGGACACCTAGCTGTGCCTCTGCAAAGCTGAACGCGCAGCTCCTAGGTTTCAGTCTCCCCACTGGCAGGCCAGCCCTCCTCCACAGCTGCTTCCCCTCAACTGCTGACTGCTGGGCCAGCTCCAGGCGCTCGGGAGTCCACAAAGCGGCATCGCCACCTGGAGGCCAGCAGGAGCATCGGGTGAGAAAACCAGTTCCCAGCTCCGGTGCTAAGGAGGCCGAGGTCACAGGCGCGTCCCCAAAGGGGCCAATTAGCGTTCCTGGGAGCGACCCCTCCTGCACCCCGGCTCACGCGCGCGGCTGCAGGCTGGAGAGTGGAGTCATCGATCCTGACCCACTTTTCATAATTTCTTAAAAACACAACTGTAAAGTATCTTGGGGGAAAAAAATGCGCAACACCCATGCTCGGCTCAGAAGGCACCCACAGCTGCAAAAGGTTCCACCCAACGAGTCCTGCGACGTGGATGGCAGTAAAGCGAATGCACGCTCCCCGGTGATCAATTAGGCTAGAAAACATTGATCTAACTCAAGTCAAGCGGGTTCTTTACGGAGAGACTCCTAAGAGCTTTGCGCATGCTGACGCGTGCTGTTAATTTTCCAAGTCTGAAATGCAATGTGCAGTGTTTCCCGGATTTGAACAGCTGTGGGCGTCCTGCCATCACCACCACTAACCACAAACTCTCCCTCTCTGCCTCTGTCTCTCTCTCTTCTTTTCAGGAATAATAATGAATCAGTCGGCCCAGGCTTAGCTACTTCCACCAGCCTGTGTGTCTATGTGATTGTTGTTATTGTTGGAGACAGGGTCTTGCTCTGTAATTTAGGCTGGCCCTGAACTCACCATGGAGCCCAGGCGGACCTCCAACTCGTGGCAATCCTCCTGCATCAGCCTCCCGAGCTGGGTTTGCACCAAGAATGTCTATAATAAGAAGCAACTCTTCCACAAGGAAAGGTTCACAGTCTATTGCTTAGAAAACTTTTTCTTATAAAAAAATTTTTTTGAAACATTATAGAACAGTAACCTATTTTGGAAGGATAAAGATGTATATACATGTGGGGAAGGGAGTTGGGGTGGAAAATACTTATTAATTATATGCTTAAGAGATCATGATGTTGGTGTGAATTTATTGAGGTGAGAAGGTCTCACTACACTCTGTTAAGCAGAAAGTCACAAAATGGCACATATGGCATTGTCAATTTTTTATTTTAAGAAGTGTATTAGTGTATACAAATATCAAGTAATTGGGGCTGGGGATTTAGCTCAGCAGCATAAGCACCTGCCTTGCAAGCAGGCAGTCATGAGTTTGATCCCTGGTACCGACAAAAAGGAAAAAGACAAAAAAAAAAAATATACCAAGTAATTGTCTGGAATGGTTCATCAAATTATTTTAGTCCATTTCTGGAGATAAAATGATGAGCACATTTTTTTGACTTTTTTGTTTTGTTTTTGAGTTTGGTTTGGTTTTGAGTCTCTCTATATAGCAGTCCAGGCTAGACTTGAGCTCACTATGTAGCCCAGGCTGGCCTTGAACTTGTGGCAATCCTCCTGCCTCAGCCTCCTGAGTGCTAGGATTACAAGCATGCACTACCCTGCTGGCAAACAGGTTGTGTGTGTGTGTGTGTGTGTGTGTGTGTGTGTGTGTGCTATTATAAAATATTCCTAACGAGAAGAAATTAAGAATTGTTATAAATAGATGAGGTAATGGATATGTTAATTAGCTTGGTTGTAGTAAACATTTCATAACATATATGTATCTCAAACCGTGTTGTACATGTTAAATATGGATGATCTTATTTATCAATTATATTCAATAAAAAGTGAATTTTTTTTTTAAAAAAAGATATATATTTGGGAAGGGAAAAAAGGCACAAACTGAATGTTCAAAGTGGCGACCTTTTTGCTGGGATAGTTATTTTTCTATATTTTATGTTTTTCAAATTTTCAGCAGTGAACATATATGTAAAATGTAAAATAAAACCACAAAATATATGTTGTAAGATAACCTACCATCTCCGTTAACTATTATTATACAGAATTCATCAGAGGTAACATTAGTGAAGGATATCTAAACACCACATAAATATGATGAGGTAAAGTAGGATTTCCTGCCCCAATTTTTCACTATTTTGTTTGACTCAAGATTTCACTATGTAGCCCAGACTGGACACAATTTTACAGCGATCCTCCTGCCTCAGCCACCCGAATGCGGGGATTATAGTTGTGTGTCACCATGCATGGCTTACCCCAATGTAAAGATGGAAAAAAATTGAAACAGAGAAGTAGATCCTATAAAGACAAAAGTTGCATGTTACATTATATCCCTCTTTGCTATCCTCCAACACAAAAACACTCACACACACACACACACACACACTACACAGAGACAGGTGACACTATTCCTCCAGGGAAAGAGCAAGAGGGCCTCGGCGAGGTGGCCTTGCTGCTGGGGGCCACTCTCTGCCATTTCTTCAATGGTCCTGGGGTGGAGGCCTATTCTAAACATCTTGACATAAACATACAAACAGATAGGGGCTGGGCTTTCCTACACTACTACTTGGGCCGGTCTCTTTCCCTTCCTCATTGACCACAGAAACCCCCAACTATTTTGTGCTCCTGTCTTATTGAGTAGAATAATTCAGTCCTCTCTGGGACCCTTCACCATATTCAGAACCAGCCCCTGCTTTAAAAAGCCAAATGCCATTGAGGGGCCCTTTTAACGAGCAACACCTAAGCTTGTGCCTAGGCACACACTAGCTCTCCCACCCCACACCTTTCCACCCTTCCCTGGGGAAGGGCATGCTGCAAAGATGTGCTTCCACATTGATATCAAGCCTGCCTGCCTCCTCGAAAAGGCAGGAGTGGCTACTGTCAACTCTGGCCTTAAAAGTATTCTTGTTTTCCATCACACATTATTTTATCCATGTTGATTCTTTCATTAATTCCATTCTACAGGTGAAAAGACTGAGGCCGGGTAATTGGCCTAAGGCATTCATGCAGGTGCATAGCTTGACCTCTGTGTCCCCACATCTCAGGCCCCCAAGATTTACAGGAGAACAGGGGTGCAGAGCTCCAGGGCAATGGAAGTGGCTGTCATAAAAACATATCCACCTGACTCAGTTTTCTCAGTCTGAGGACAAACCAGTTAGGCAGACCTGGCTGAAGCAAACACACAGTTCTTCAGCGTTCAGGTTTCATCAACCGGTTAAAAGTGGTGGGTTTCTTTGCTTCTTTCATGAACTCTCTAATAGAAAATTCCGCCTTTTTCTCCTCCCTTCCCACCACCGCGCCTGCTTCTTTGGTAGGAGCCAGGCAATTACCCACATTCAAAAACTACTTCATTCAGTTTAAACTGTGAAACTGATGAGAGAGCCTTTTCCTTTGTCCTCCTTGAGTCCAAGAAGTAGATACAGGGCCCTTCCCTTCACCACGTGGCTCCATTTACCTCCGCTCCAAGGTCCCAGGGTCCTGCAAGGTCCACGAAGCAAGTTATTTGTCCTTCTCCTTCTTCGAGGTGAGCTTGCAGCTGACTTCCCCTGGCAGCTGGATCTTAAAAAGTGAGCCGAGCTCGGGGCAGAAGGCATCACAAAGCAATCTTAGACAACCGGTGTTCTTCATTACATCTGCAAAATGCCGCCAGCACCTTTGACCAAACATTAATACTGCAAGACTTTGACATCTTGTGATGTAGCTGGAGTTTGAGAAATGGGGCTGAAGGTTGATTGGGGTCCCCAAAATAAATCTTTTCTATTGCCATGAAACAGTTACAGTTGCACAACCGAAATATCAGCCCTTTGGAAAAGCTATCAAACCCACTCATGCAGTTGGGTAATAGCATCGTTGAAAGCATTTCTCAGATGCCTGGTGTTCAAGCACTGTCCAGGGTGAGTTAAGCGGACACATTCCATTACGGGAGACATTTCCAAGACAGGATATATGTTTCTGGTACTAGCAGTGAGGCTGGCTCAGGCGAATGTCAAAGTACCTCTCTCAGAGGCCAGCGTGGATATTAGAATAATAACTAACATTTATTGAGTCCCTTCATTCACCAGCTCCATGTAACATGGCTCGTATATACATATTGCCTCACGTAGTCCTCCAAGCAAACCCTGATAGAGGTGCTGCCTCACCCCTGATTTACAGGAGGAGGAGCACAGGCTCCTTGCCCTTGAGTAGCCAGTCCAAGATTGCACAGCTAGGAAACGGTGGAGATAATTCAAATCCAAATCCCCTGACACCACGGTCCACTCTGTTAACCATGGCGCCACACCTGCATGATTCATGTAGAGTGGTTCCAACATGAGTTTTGGAGGAGGATGGTCTTGGATTCAAATTGGGCCTTCATGAGTCATTTGGACCGTGTTTATGGACTCTGAGTCGACTTTTTATTACTGTAACAAATACCTGCGAGGAATATAGACATATACAGAGAACAGGTTTTGAGGAGTCAATCTCTGATCCATTGGCTCTGCTGCTCCTGGGCCTGCAGTGAGGCAGCACACCATGGTAGGAGTGCATGATGGAGCAGAGCCTTCATCTCATGGATAGAAAGCAAAAGAGAAAAATCAAGGGTGAAGTCTCACTGTCCCTCTCAAGGGCATATCCCAGTGGCCAGGAGACTCCCTTAGCCTCCCACCTCTTGAAGTTCCCACCATCTCCCAGTGGCACCAAACTAGAGATCAAGCCTTTAATGCATGGGCCTTTGGGGAAGTTTCCAGACCCAAACCATAGCATACTTTAAACTTGAACCTCATCATCTGCAAAACATAATGACACCCATGTCTTGTTTGAAGGGAAGTAAAGAGAGAAATAGTTCTATAGTCATATTATATCTAAAAGCCCACATGAATCATTTCCAGAACCAAAATCCTTTTTTAATTTTTTTTCAAAATCCTTTCTTAAAATGCATAGCAGAGCTGGAGCTAGGGGCACATACCTGTAATCCCAGCACTTGGGAGGCTAAGGCAGGTGGATCACCACAAGTTTGAGGCCAGACTGAACTACATAGAAAGACCCTAAATACTAATACTAATTAAAATAATAATAATGATATATTGACCGGAGCCGCGGGAGACAGGAGACCAAAATCGAGCAGGATCAGCTCTCAAACTTTATTGCGTACAGCGAACCGGACCTAACAAGGTCCGCCACCCTCAACGTTGGTTCCTCTTCCGCCCGTTGGGGGCAGGAACAACCTCTTATAAGGGGAAGCAGTATCTAATCACAGAGAAGCGCGTCTAACAAGCTGATAGGCTAGCGTCACGGGTAACTGGGCAGACATGACAATTTGGCGGGCTTGTTCAGGCCGGGAAGAACCCGGAAGCAGGAAATGGGCGCCATCATAGGCAGCTTCCCACATCTCCCCCTTTTTTATTTATTAAAATAGGATGGTCTGTGGGTCCCTCCAAGGTGTCTATGACCTTGTTGCTGTTAGACACCTAGGAGTGGGCCTACCTTGTAGGCCGAGGCATGAGAGAATGTAGAGGTCTATACCCTGCTGTGCATCACCCTGTTTTGTGCATATCCTTGCGCCAGGACCATGCTCAAGGTGAGTGGTTCATTTTTTCGCAGGGCCAGGCTTTTGTGAACCGAACCTGGATGCATATAGACATTCATTCTTGCCTTCCCCCCAACCTTTGGGGCGGATGGCACTGCAGTACCCTTGGTCTCGCATCTCAATGCCAATAATTTGACTCCAGGAGGGACCCCTGGCCTTAAAGGCCATGTATATCTGAGTGGAGCCTGTCTTAGGTTGACCGGGAGGGCTTTTCCCGTCTTACCCATCATTGGCTTGCCCACTCAGCTCTTATAGCTGATGTTCTGCAATGTGAAGGAGATATGCGGCGGCCTGCTGGCCTGATGGGCCACCTGCTGCCATTTGCATGGCTGCCATAGCTGTGATCTTAACCTGCTGCTGAGTTTGTATGAGGCGATCTAACAAGCATTTAATAACCACAAGGCCCCACTAGGATGGCCACAGCAATCAGGATCCAAGTAGTCAGGTTGGGCCAGGAGAACCAGGAGGTGACGCGTTCCCACAAACTTGCTATTTTTAACAGTGTTGGTCAAATTTGTGCGAACAGGGGTGATTAATAGGAACCTACAGAATAGAAAAAGCTCCAAACCAGACATTTTAGTTTGTAGATGGTCTCGGGCGCTGAGCGTCGGTCCCAGAAGGGTCGAGTTGACTTGTGTCCGCGGGCTTATCCTCCTGTGCTTTATCAGGAACTGGTGGGGAGTTTACTGCTCGCGTCAATCTTTCCGGGACCCACAGCGGTTCGCAGCCTGGTTCCTGTGGGAAGACACAAACCGCACCTCGGGTCCAGCTAATCACTGGATCCGGGCCCATCCATTGTCCTGTAAGGACATCTTTCCATCTCACCAGCCCTTTGTCGGCCGGGGACGGGTTATTGTGCTCCATGGCAGGGGAATGATTATTGTGATTAAGGTTTAAAAAATTTATGGTAAAGAGTGCCAATGATATTCTTCCTTTGGGCGTTAGGCCATGGCCTATTCCCTCCTTTTGTTTTTGTAAGACACCCTTGAGTGTCCGATGGGATCGCTCAATGATGCCTTGTCCTTGGGGGTTGTAAGGAATGCCATGTTTAAGAGTGACTTCCATTTGTTGACAAAATGTCATAAAAATTTTGCTGGTATAGGCAGGACCATTGTCTGTTTTTAGTATATTGGGCTTTCCCCAAGCAGCCCAGGCTGCCAGGCAATGATTAATAGCATAGGTGGCCCTTTCTCCAGGTTCTGCCGAAGCAAACATAACCTGAGAAGCGGTGTCAACCGAAACATGTACATATTTTTCCGAATTCTGGGATGTGTGTTTGCCAAATATGATTGGGGCGCAGTCCTCTCGGGTTAACACCAATAGATTGTTGAGGTAAAGAGATCACACAGACCTGCCAATGCCTCTAAAAGCGCCATGGTAAATGGCGCATTGGGCCCATAAGCTGAAACTGCGTCCTTGATAGTTTTAAGTTGTTTAATTTCTAAGGGCTCATAATATCCTCCTCCTCCCCTGCCTCCTACTTGTACCGGGAATGCATGGAGACCGGAACACTCAAAGGGAAGCCGCGACCATACCCTCTGGTGGAAGGAACGTCCTCCTCCCTCCCCAGATGGGGGCGCAGAAGGCAACCCAGGAAGTAGCTCTCCCTCTAACCAGGGCGGTGCCATAGGTTGTGGGCGCCCTCTGGCGGCCACGGGTGGAGGTGGCAGCCCAGGGAGCAACTCCTCTTCCGGCCACGGCGGTGCAGTGGGGCCTGGCGCCCTGAAGGGGGTGATCATGGGTCGCGAACTTGCCAAAGGGCGGAAGGGCTTAAGCTCCTCCCGTAAGGTGGAGTAGCTCGGGCAGGGTGGTGTTTGGTTCCCCTTTTTATCTTCCCGAGCCCTAAGTTCCTCTTTTAACGGTATAGGAGGGTCATGCTTAGCAAAGACGACCTCCTCTTCTGAGCCTTCCGAATCCGAATCAGAATTAGAGCCCTGAGGGTCCTCCGGAGACCCACAATCGGCAGTGGCTCCGGGCTCCTCTGAGCATTCCGATCGAGCTCTATCAAAAGCCTGTCGGGCTGTATTAGCGAAGCGAAAGCAAAACAGATGCAAAGGGAAAAGAAAAGAAAAAAAAAACCCAGCATCCACTCGTGTGGCGCTCAAAATCTGTTAGGTGCGTCCACCCAACCCAGGTGACCCAGTACTCACCTGTCCCGGGAACCGCTGTATCTCACGTAGCTGATCAGGGTGAAGAGAAGAGGTGCTTGGGGCCTTCCGTTGTTATTGGGCCAGGTCCTCCGTCGTACCGCAGGCGACAGCAATCGCACCTCCCGGCCGAAGAGGCACGTCGCTGAGTCTTTTACCTTTTTTTCCCCGTACGGGCCACCAGATGACCGGAGCCGCGGGAGACAGGAGACCAAACTCGAGCAGGATCAGCTCTCAAACTTTATTGCGTACAGCGAACCGGACCTAACAAGGTCCGCCACCCTCAACGTTGGTTCCTCTTCCGCCCGTTGGGGGCAGGAACAACCTCTTATAAGGGGAAGCAGTATCTAATCACAGAGAAGCGCGTCTAACAAGCTGATAGGCTAGCGTCACGGGTAACTGGGCAGACATGACAATTTGGCGGGCTTGTTCAGGCCGGGAAGAACCCGGAAGCAGGAAATGGGCGCCATCATAGGCGGCTTCCCACAATATATAATATACATATCAGGAAGAAAAACCATGTTAATAATTATTGCATTCATTTATAAAACCTCCAGGCAATGGTTAGACACTCACTTATAAAAGTTGTAACTGTTATAAGTGGTAATTTTATTTTACTTTTAAGTTATATCTTTAAATAACCACACATAGGGGCTGAGGATGTAGCTCAGCGACACAAGCACCTGCCTGGCAAGCATGAGGTTGTAGGTTCAATCCCCAGTACCAAAATAAATAAATAACCAGCACAGTCCATCTAAATGAAACGCTACTGAAATCATCCTACTTCTCCTTTACCTTTTATGAAACTCGAGGTGATATCCTCAATTTGTGCCAAGATAGAATGGAATGTGTACCAGAAATCCCATCTTGACAGTGCCAGGTCATATCATATTCCTTCAAGATT